ATAAATAATAAAGAAAAGAAACCAAGTATATAATGGGTGAAGAAATAAGGTTGTGAGTACCTGACCAATGTAGAACAACTTTTAAAATTCCATACCTCGGAGCATTTCTCAGGATGCCAGTAGGCATTAAAAATTATTTTTGACCAAGTAAATTTGGAGAAAGATGGGGTAGGTGAATTTGGATAGGGATTTTCTTTTTTATTGGTGGGTCCAAAGAGGGATGGTATATGCAGCATTTCCCACATTTATTTGACCAGGGACCATTTATTGATTTATTTGGGAGCATCTCAGGGGATTCGTGTTCCATGGAGAACACTGACAGAGGCTGCTCTAGACCACGGAAGATATTCTTTCTTCTCTTTTAGAGGGCTCTTTTATTTTGGTGCATACTTACAGAGACTGCAAACTCTGTAAGTTTCTCTATTGGCTATATAAAAAGTGTTTGCATTTTCCTTGGATATTAGTGAGGTTTTGAAGGGTCAGGATAGGGAGCATTGAGTGAGCTTTTACTTGGTGCCAGTACATTGCTGAGCATTTCCTCTAGAATCTCATTAGTGGGAAGTAGGAATTAGCACTTCTGATTTTTAGGTGACATGATAACTTGGCCAACATGCCATTTACGGATCATTTCTAACATGCCAAACATTTTAAGGTGAAGACATTTTAAAAATCACATCTAGTTTTATACATAGATTCATACATAGTTGTAAGAAGTTATACGGAATGATTTTGTGTCCCTTTCACCCAGTTTCTCCCAGTGGTAACATGTTGCAAAACAGTATTACAATATCACAGTCAGGCGATTAACACTGATACAATCACGAACACTTGAACACTTTTTAGATTTCTGTCTTTCTCTTTTTTTTTTGCGGGGGGTGGGGATGGGGGAGACAGGATCTCACTCTGTTGCCCAGGCTGGTGTGCAGTGCAGTGGTAATAATCATGGTTTACTGCAGCCTTGACCTCCTGGGCTCAAGTGATCCTCCCTCCTCAGCCTCCCATGTAGGTAGCTGTGACTGCAGGCATGCCCTACCATGCCTATAATTGAAAAAAATTTTTGTAGAGATGGGATCTCACTGTGTTGCCTAGGCTGGTCTTGAACTCTTGAGCTCAAGTGACCCTCCTGCCTGGTCTCCCAAAGTGTCGGGATTACAGGCATGAGCTACCATGCCCTGCCACTTTTTAGATTTCATGGGTTTTACACATTTTCTTCCTGTTTGTGTATATATACATTTAATTCTGTGCAATTTCTCACGTGAAAATTTGTGTGACCACCGTGGCAGTCAAGATATAGAACAGTTCCATCACAAGGGTCCCAAATGGTATGCCTTTATGGCTGTCTCCTTCCCCTTACATCCCTAACCCCTGACAGCCACTAATTCTTCATCTCTGTAATGTTGCCATGTTAAGTAGTCTCTGTAAACACAACTATACAACATGTAACCTTTTGAGATTGGCTTTTTAACATCCTAGTTACTCTTAATCCGCTGTTTCCAATTTTTACAGCAATCCTACAAGGTAGGGATTATGAATTCTTTCTAGTAGATGAGGAAGTGAAACCCCAGAAGAGTACAGTGTAATGCCCAAGGCTATACCACTAGTGGACCAGGAGGCAAGGAGAGGGCCCGAGCACCCCTGATTCTCAGCCTTGACTTCTTTCACTCACCCTTGGCCTTTCCCCATCTGGATTCCCAGTGTTCACATTCTGTTTTTACCAAGACAGTTCTCCTTTTCTCTTCCTCTGTACTCAGAATAAAGTCTCTTTTGTTTTTTATGAGTCTTAAATTTTAAGAAAGAAGCTTGGATCACATTATCATTTTGGAAGTGCAGAGATTGGGTATTTTTTCTCTCCAGCTCTGTTTTGGTCTTGTTGCCATTTTCAGTGTTTTCTGTGGTGAGTTCCTTCACCACCTTGATGCTGCCACAAATGTTGAGGATGGTTGTAGTGTAGAGAATAAAGGCAGAGATTCTTGCACATCATTTCTTGAATCCATGTATAGGCATCTTGGGCTTGCAGCCTGCCTGAGCGCTGTATTCAACCTACTAGCTTTGGTTGCTGTGGTGCTAAACATACTCCCAGTGCCTTTGGGATTTAACTCACTACAGACAAGAAGCTGTCGGTGCACTGAGGGATGGTGGGAAAGCAAAATGCATACATTTCTATTTATCACAGTAAATAAATGTGATAAATTTATTTTACTGTGCCAGATGCTGTATATTTAAGAAAAAACTTTCAGTATTCCAATACTGGAGAAGAATTACTGCCCCCCCTCCCCCCCGCAACTATTTTTTAAGACAGGGTTTGGCTCTGTCACCCAGACAGGAGTATTGTGATGCAATCTCAGCTCACTGCAACCTTCACTTCCTGGGCTCAAGTGATTCTCCTGCCTCAACCTCCTGAGGAGCTGGGACTGCAGGCATGAGCCGCTGCACCTGGCTCCTTTGTCTGTTTTTAGTAGAAATGGGGTTTCGCCATGCTGCCCAGGCTGGCCTTGAGCTCCTGAGTGCAAGCAAGCCATCTGACTTGGCCTCCCAAAATGCTAGGATTACAGGTGTGAGCTACCATGCCTGGCCATAAACCTTTTGAAATCTCTATGTGGGATGTAGTTTTTAAGAAGATCAGGAAACAGCAAAATGTGTAGATATTTGTTGATCATTGAACCTTCTATACATTCTCTTCTTTCAGCGTCCATTTACGAATGTATACATGTATTACGTATTTAGAGACGGTGTCTTGTTCTTTTGCTCAGGCTGGAATACAGTGGCACTGTCACAGCTCACTGAAACCTCGAACTGTTGGGTTCAAGCAGTCCTCCCATTTCAGCCTCCCAAATAGCTAGGATTACAAGTGTGTACTACCATGCCTGGCTAATTAAAAAAATATATATATATATATTGTAGAGATGTGGTCTCACTGTGTTGCCCAGGCTGATCTTACACTCCTAGCCTCAAGCCATCCTTTTATCTTGGCCTCTCAAAGCGCTGGGGTTACAGACATGGGCCACCACGCCTGGCCTTTTAGTGTCTTTGAACTAGCTATTCCCTCTGTCTGGAAAAACTTTCCTGAGATTTCCATGCAGTTTGGGGCACTTCCTCACCTCGCCTTCTTCAGATCTCTGTACAGTGTTGCCTTTTTTCTCTGTTTGTCCCTGACATTTAAGATTTAACAGTTCACCCCCACCCCATCCTTCTTAATTTTTCTCCATCACACTTTGATCAGCTTTGAACAAGCCCCTGTGTCCCTTTGTGTGTCTGTGCGTTGTTTTCCCTTTCCGAGAATGTGAACCTCCTGAAGGCAGGGATTTTTGCCTGTTTTGCTCACTGCCGTATATCCAGTCCTTTAGAGTAGTGCCTGGCACATACTAGATCTCATCATACATAAATAAATGAAAGTTTTCAAGGATAAAGATTTGTTTGAATTAAGTTAACCAACAGCACCCACTTACAGGACACAACAGAATAATCATGTCTGTACAGGTCAGCCCCTGGTAAGATGCTCATTTAAAAATGGTTACATCAGTTTAATACAAGTGTGCTCTTTTCTTGCCTACTTAAAACGTATTTCTAACTATGACTTTTCCTTTGGAAAATGATTGACTTTGGGGGAGCCCTTTTAGAGGTAAAAGAAGTTAACTTGCAGATCTTCTAGAAATGTTTATACTTCTGCACAACTGAAGCATGAGTCCAGTGTTTGCATAACCACCTGTGTAATTAATCTTATTAACATTCCAGTATGTATTTGCTGAGCTAGAGTCTTCCATTTTGCAATAAAAGTATTTTCACATGTTGGCTGCTACTGTGAAAATTGGTTTCTCTCCTATGTTTGGAAAGCTTGTGCTGCAGTTTTGATGTGGGGGGTGTGGTCTAGTGCTGCATAACGTTTGCTTTTTTGGTGGAAGGGGGATCCATGATATAAACTCTTGGTTTCAGTTTCTCTCTTTGGAGCTGTTTTTGTTAGTGCTAAGAATACTAAGGGTATCCCTATATATGATGGTTAAAAAATAAACATAGCAGGCTGGGCATTGTGGCTCATGCCTGTAATCTCAGCACTTTGGGAAACCGAGGCGAGCAGATCACGAGGTCAGGAGTTTGAGACCAGCCTGGCCAACATAGTGAAACCCTGTCTCTAGTAAAAATCCAAAAAATTAGTTGGGCATGGTGTTGGGCGCCTGTAATCCCAGCTACTCAGAAGGCTGAGACAGGAGAATCACTTGAACCTGGGAGGTGGAGGTTGCAGTGAGTTGAGATCTTGCCATTGCACTCCAGCCTGGGCAACACAGTAAGACCCCATATCAGAGTGTGACTCCATCTCAACAAACAAAGCGAGGTTATCATTGACAAAGTTGGGTTGAGTGGGATGGAAGCTGCTGAGAGGGGTGAAGACCTGGCCTTCTTGGGGCTGATTTGTGGTTGGAGAGTGGTTTGGAGGGTGGCTGCCACTGAGGAGCAGGAAGTGGGGGCTGCTGCTGTGTCTCGAAGGACCTCCTAGGGAAGAGCTAGCAAACCAGCACCATCAGTGCCCTCAGAACACACAGCTGTTTGTGGTGTGGCTGTGTGTGCGCTTGCTGGTGCATAGTCCTGTTAAGGCTTGAAGAGGAAGGTAAGGAGGGTAAGACTAAGAGAGGGAAGAGTTAAAGAGACAGAATGTTAATGCAGTAAGGAAGTAATTCATATTTTGGGATAGGCTTCCATGTGTGAGAACACTTGACTTCCAAACAACCCACGCTTTCCTTCATTATCCACAGACCACCTCTCCTATGCTACATTCAGACTCCACACCACCCACCCCAGGCAGATTCTCGTTCTGTCGCCCAGGCTGGAGTGCAGTGTTGCAATCTTGGCTCACTGCAACTTCTCTCTCCCAGGTTCAAGTGATTGTCCTGCTAGAGCCTCCCGAGTACCTGGGATTACAGCACGTGGCACCACGCCAAGCTAATTTTTGTATTTTTAGTAGAGACGGGGTTTCACCATGTTGGCCAGGCTGGTCACAAACTTCTGACCTCAAGTGATCTGCCCGCCTTGACCTCCCAAAGTGCTGGGATTACAGGCATGAGCCACTTTGCCCAGCTGCATTCAGACTTTTCCATGTTAGCTGAACTATCAGGAAAATTCTGAGCACAGCTCTGAGAGAAATTCACATTTCAAGTCAGTTGGTTGCCAAAAGCAGAGAACCCTGATCCTCACTGGAGCTGACTAGAACACCTTCTCTTTGTTAGTTAAAGGTATGGCTGCATTTAAATAACTAATAGAGGTCAGACAGGACTTACTTAGTTTCTGAGACTAGTTGTTAGCTCTCCTTTTCCCGAGGGAAATAAGCTCAGCTGAATTACTTAAATCACACTTTTTCCATTTCTTGAAATGATTTCCGTTTCCCTGCCCTAGAAAAAGTAGGTGGCTGCAGAGAGGTTGTGACAGAGTTATAAAGCTATGTGGGTTAAATTAGCCCAGTACCTCACTCTTAGAGCACATTGAACAGACAGCTAACACCTCCTAATGATCACCAGCTACATATAGATCAATGTTTTCAAATGAAACCAAAGGTGTGTATTCAATTCAGGGAGACAAAACGGACACGACTCAGGAATCTCATAGAACCCCAGATGAGTAGATAGAAGCAGCAACAGAAGAGTCACCTGATTGGTAGTTCTGTGAATCTCCCTAAAAATCTCTACTGAAATGTTTAAGTCCTGTGCTCTTTTCTGTGGACTCTATCCTTCAGAAATGGTTAAAATATCTAGATGTGGAATTAATGAGATTTTACATGTCTGCACTCTGTGCATTTTAATGTGATAAATGGCTTCATGCATATATATTGCTCTGTGTCCCAGACTCATGTTTTTTGACTAAAATGTTCAGTTGGTTAAAATATGTTGTATTGATCAATATGTTATATAGAATGATGTACTTTATTGATTTACTGTAAAGAATTACAATGGAGCAACTCTGTTTAGGAAGGTTTGTTTTTGCCATTTTAGCAAGGAAAATTTGCCAGTTATTTTGGCTGAATTTAAAACCTCTTACATGATTACATCACATGTCTTTCTAATTCTGCTATAATAGAGGAGTGTAAGTAACTAAGTTTATCTGAACTTTTAGGAGTCTCCCTTTAGGCTCAAATTAGTCTGGTGTCTCCACAGGGCCTTTGTTAAAGGCTGGATTTAAATATTGGGTGGATCTGTCTTGGATCCCGTTCTAGGCCATGCTTCTTGGAAGTCCCAGACAGGGAACTCATCATGACCTGGTTTTACCCGTAGCACGGCCCTGTGCCATCTCACCATTAGAGCTCAGTGTCTCGGGCTTTAGTTCTGTTTTCAATCCATCGATCACTCTTGCAGTCAGTTTAACAGTTGAATGCAAGGGTGTATTTTCTTTTTTTTGTTTGTTTTCTTTTGAAGCTAGTTTAGAAATTACCACAGCTGCTTCTCAGTTAATCAGATGCTTAAGACTCACTCTTGTTTCCACATTGCTTGGCTGCTACCTTTTTACGACACCACAGCTGTCTGGGTCTCGCCTGTGCCCCCCACCCCCCTTACTCCTTTCCATCTGCCACCTCTCACCACTTCCTCACTTACTATGTATCCAGGTGGCAGACTCCCAAGTAAACTGCCGACTTTCCTCCCCTGCAGAAAGGCTGGGCCTTGAGTTCACAGTAGCCCCTTTCACCAGGAGAACCGTCTTAGGCTAGGAACCAACCTTGGAGTACTGCTGCTCTCAGAAGTGCCGACGTTTGCCTCTGGACTGGCTTTGTACCTTTGGGTGTTGAATTTTCCCCTTGACTTGGAAACTTTTGCAAAGGACCTGAAAGGTGCTTTCAGATTAAGCAGCCATGGCTCCCTATCCCAGCCACCCACCTTGTTTTTAAAGCTGGAAGTCTTATTTGAAGTGAGGAGAGGAGGTAGGTAGGTTGCAGTCCAGGTTTTCCTGTTTGTGAATGGTGTTACTTACCTTGGCCAATTCCTCTTCCTCATAATGATACTTCTAGTCTCAGCCTTTTGCCATGTGTGTACCATCCACTGGGAGCTGTTTTCCCTTGTCCTTTAAAGCTTATCCAACTGTATCTCCAGTGCTCTTCTAGCAAGCTGTCACAGTAAGCATAAAAACAAGCGCATTAAACAAAGAATAAAATGCCAAGTTTCTATCTCCTTGCCAACCTCATTAGAAAACAGTGATAAAGTTTGTATGTGTATAATTACAGTAATTAAACATTTGAAACCAGCTCAATAGGGGACATCTTAATGCTTTTATGTGTGTGATATTTTCATTTCAGAATTGGACTCTGGGTGGCTTCTGTTTTATTCAGGACCTTCATCTTTATGGGGGTGGGAGGAGGAAGGTGGCTTTTGACCACAGCGCCACGCTTCTGCAAAAGTAGCTTTATTACAAGTGTATTAGCAGGAAACAGAACAACCTTTCCATCACTGTGTTTATTTTTGAGGGTGTGTAGCCAGTTGTCAAATATAAAAGACATGAATGGCCTGGCTAGTGAAGAAGACATGTGGAAAATAATCGTAAACTGCCTGCATGATGTGCTTGCTCTCAGTAGTAAAGGACAGGAATAGTTCGTCTTTGGTACTGCCCCGATGGAGTCATACAGTCCCCGCATTTGTGTGGGATGACAGAATATCACTATGGGGTTGGTCTGCCTCATAGCTCTTCCACCCTGAGAGCTGTTCTCACTTAGGAAGTGGAAAGACTAAAGGGCCAACTATAGGTTGAACCAGGAGTTTTATTCACTAAGTAGATTTTATTAGTTGAAATGTGTATATATATGTATATGTAAAATTTCAATAGCTTTTGAGGTACAAATGGTTTTTGGTTACATGGACAAGTTGTATGGTGGTAAAGTCTGAGATTTTAGTGCACCCATCATCTGTGTGGTATGGATTACATCCAGTATGTAGTTTTTCATCCCTCATCTCTCTCCTCCCCTCCCTCTTCTGCGTCACCAGAGTTCGTTAAATGACTCTGCATGCTTTTGTGTACTGATAGTTTAGCTCCCATTTGTAACTGAGAACATATGGTATTTGGTTTTCTATTCCTGAGTTACTTCATGTAGAATAATGGCCTCCAGCTCCATCCAAATGGCTGTGAAAGATACTTCATTCTGCTTTATGTCTGAGTAGTACTCCATAGTGCACAGACTACATTTTCTTTATCTACTCATCAATTGATGAGCACTTAGGTTGGTTCTGTATCTTTGCGATTGTGAATGGTGCTGTGATAAACCTATGTGTGCACATGTCTTTTTGATAGAATGACCTCTTTTCCTTTGAGTAGATGCCCAGTAGCGGGATTGCTGGATGGAATGGTAGATTTACTTTGAGTTCTTTAAGGAATCTTCATACTGTTTTCCATAGAGCTTGTCTTATTTACATTCCCACCAGCAGTACATAAGTAAATGTTCCCTTTTTACCACATCCATGCCAACATCTATTGTATTTTAACTTTTTAGTAATGGTCATTCTGACTGACGGTAAGGTGGTGTCTTGTTTTAATTTGCACTTCCTTTACGATCAGTGATGTTGAACATTGTTTCGTATATTTGTTGACCATTTGTATGTCTTCTCGAGAAATGTCTGTTCATGTCATTTGCCCACTTTTTGATGGGATTTTTTTTTTCTTGCTAATTTATTTGAGTTACTGTAGATTGAGGATATTAGTTCTTTGTTGGATATAGCTTGCACATATTTTCTCCCAGTCTGTGGATTGTCTCTTTACTGTGATGATGATTTGATGTGCAGAAGTTTTTTTTTTTTTTTTTTGACGGAGTTTCGCTCTTGGTGCCCAGGCTGGAGTGCAATGGCTCATTCTCGGCTTACCACAACCTCCGCCTCCTGGGTTCAAGTGATTCTCCTGTTTCAGCTTCCCAAGTAGCTGGGATTACAGGCATGTGCCACCACGTCTGGCTAATTTTTTGTATTTTTAGTAGAGACGGGTTTCACCATGTTGGCCAGGATGGTCTTTATCTCTTCGCCTCGTGATCCACCCCCCTCGGCCTCCCAAAGTGCTGGGATTATAGGCGTGAGCCACTGCGCCCGGCCGATGTGCAGAAGCTTTTTTGTTTAATTACGTCCCTTTTGTTTATTTTTGTCTTTGTTGCATTTGCTTTTGGAGTCTTAGTCATAAATTCTCTACCGAGACCAACATTCAGAAGTTTTTCCTAGGTTGTCTACTTAAATTATTATGGTTTCAGCTCTTAGATGTTAAGTCTTTGATCCATTTTGAGTTGATTTTTGTATATGATGAGAGATAGGGATCCAGTTTCTTTCTTATACATGTGGCTATCCAGTTTTTTCAGCACCATTTATTGAACAGGGAGTCCTTTCTTCAATCTTTGTTTTTGTATACTTTGTCGAAGGTCCGTTGTGTTTGTGAGTATTCGGTTTTATTACCGTGTGCTCTGTTCTGTTACATTGGTCTCTGTATCTACTTTTATACTAATACCATGCTGTTTGGGCAACTATAACCTTGTAATATAATTTGAAGTTAGGTAATGTGATGCCTTCAGGTTTGCTATTTTTGCTTAGGATTGCTTTGGCTATTTGGGTTCTTTTTGGTTCTGTATGAATTTTTTTTTCTAATTCTGTAAAAAAGATGTAGGTATTTTGGTAGGAATTGCATTGACTCTCTAGATTGCTTTGGGTAGTGGGGTCACTTTATGATATTGATTCTTCCAATTCATCAGTGTGGGATATTTTTTCCATTTGTGTCATCTGTGATTTCCTTCAGCAGTGTTTTGTCATTCTCTTTGAAGAGATTTTTCACCTTCTTGGTTAAGTATATTCCTAGGTAATTTATTTTATTTTATTTTTGTGACTGATTTGTGTACATTGATTTTGTAACCTGAAACTTCACTGAGTTCATTTATCAAATCTAGGAGTCTTTTTTTTTTTTTTTTTTTTTTTT